GCCCTAGCTGTGCGAAGGACAGGCCTCGCGCCAGGACCCCGGCGGACTTCTGAGGTGGCCCGGGCCCCGCCGCCGCTCCCTGCCCCTACCCCGCGCCCCCGGCCTCGCATCCCCTTTCCCACCCCGCCTGCCTGGGGGTCCTCCTTTATTGGGCCTAGCCCCCCACCCCACCCCGCGGCGCAGGCCCTGGGCTGCTCAGGTCCACCGAGCCTCGCGCCCTCACCCTCGGGGGCTCCTGTGCACCTCTCCCCGGCCTTGCGGCGGCACCCCTAGCCCCCCTGCTCCAGTGGCTCGGGTCCTGGGCGCCTCCGGCTCCCCACCCCCTCCTCCCACTCCGTCGCGCGTCGCGCCTCTCATTTCCACGCCACCATGAGTGCTCCGGGTCGCTTGTCCTGCCACTCGGGATCCCCAGTACTTCCATTTTTAGAGATAGCACCCTTTCCCGCACACTCCGGATCTCTCTCCCCGAGCCTGAAACATCGCCTCTGCCTCCACCCGCACCTCTGCTGCTGCTTCTGCTGCTGCCCGCCTCAAGGCCTTGAGAGTCACCTCATAACCGCCTTGGCCCCCTAGCTCTCCAGATCAACCCATTCCAAGCTGCAGACCTTGGAGACCCTCCTTTTGGCCCCCAAATTTTGTTCTGAGAACAAACAGTACGAAGTTCCTCTGCCTGGCCTTGTTAGTAGTAGTAGTAGTAGTAACATCGTGCGACTTCTGGGCCCAGCTTTTCCCCACCCAGCGCAACAGCTGTTGCCACATTTGCTTCCCCAACTCCTGGATGTCCTTGATTTCTTGACCTCCCTCTCACGCTAGCTTGCCTGTTCTCTTATCCTTGTGTTGCCCCAGGTACCAGGATGGTGGGGGAACTGCGCTACAGGGAATTCAGGGTGCCCCTGGGGCCCGGCCTCCATGCCTATCCTGATGAGCTGGTCCGACAGCGGGTGGGCCATGATGGACACCCTGAGTACCAGATCCGCTGGCTCATTCTCAGGCGTGGAGACGATGGGGACTCGGGTCAAGTGGACTGCAAGGCCGAGCACATCCTGCTATGGATGTCTGATGATGAGATCTATGCCAACTGCCACAAGATGCTCGGTGAAGATGGCCAAGTCATTGGGCCTTCTCAAGAATCTGCAGCAGAGGCTGGGGCCCTGGACAAATCTGTGCTGGGGGAGATGGAGACAGACGTGAAGTCCCTGATTCAGAGGGCTCTCCGGCAGCTGGAGGAGTGTGTGGGCACCATGCCTCCTGCTCCTCTGCTTCACACTGTCCATGTGCTCAGCGCCTATGCCAGCATCGAGCCCCTCACCGGGGTCTTCAAAGACCCAAGGGTCTTGGACTTGCTCATGCACATGCTGAGTAGTCCGGATTACCAGGTCCGCTGGAGCGCAGGCCGGATGATACAAGCCCTGTCCTCCCATGATGCTGGTGAGGGGCAGCTTGGGGAGGAAGGGAGAGCCAGAGAGGGGCTGGGTCAGCTCAGGGACACACAGGACACTGTGGCAGGAGCCTCTGACCTCATCAGTACGTAAATGATTCTATTGCCTTTCTTGTAGAGTTTGTAAGAAGTGGGTGGGGGAATGGGGTTGGGAGCATGTGTGCAGAAAGGACAGTCTGCATCTTCAAGAACCTTATATTAATTAATTGGCTTTCTGTCCAAAAGAAGTTTAGAGTTTTGACTACTGCAGATTGTGTGTGTGTGTGTGTGCATGTGTGTGTATGAATAAGATAGTAAACTTTGGCGTTTGAAGCAAATCAACAAATATGTCATTCCCACTGAGTGCTGGTGAAGGAACTGTACACAGTCTAGGATGCCTTGGAAGAAGGAGGGCAGAGAGCAGTTACTGATTGGGATGTGGGTTACAGGGACCCGGACCCAGATCCTTCTGTCATTGAGTCAGCAAGAGGCCATTGAGAAACACCTGGATTTTGATAGCCGCTGTGCTCTGCTAGCCCTGTTTGCACAGGCCACTCTCTCCGAACATCCTATGTCTTTCGAGGGCATTCAGCTGCCACAGGTATCTTGTGGGGAATGGGTTGGGGGAAACTGAACAAGAGTGAAGGGCCAGGCTTTGTACTCGGCACAGAGCACTGAGGAAAGGGGCTGAAGCCAAAATGGGTTGTATCCCACAGCTCCCGGGAAGGCTGCTCTTCTCCCTGGTGAAGCACTTTTTGCATGTCACCTCCCTCCTGGATCAGCTGAATGACAATACAGGGGAGGCAGGAGCCCAGAACAACCCTGCTCCTGAAGAACTGAGTGTGGAGAGGGGTCAGCTGGAGCTGGAATTCAGTATGGCCATGGGCACCTTGATCTCGGAGCTGGTACAGGCCATGCGCTGGGACTGGGCCTCAAGCAAACCAGGAAGCTCACCGCGGGCCCCCTATTCCATCTTCCGGCCTCCGGCTGAAGATGCTAGCCCAGGGGCCGCACCCTTCCAGGCCCATCGCTTCTTCAGGCGGTCGAGGCAGTTTCGCCCTCCCACTGAGTTTGCAAGCAGCAATACCTATGCGTTGTATGTGCGGGACATGCTGCAGCCGGGGATGCGAGTGCGGATGCTGGAGAATTATGAGGAAATCAGTGCTGGAGACGAGGGTGAATTCCGGCAGAGCAACAATGGTGTGCCCCCTGTGCAGGTGAGAGAACAAGCCTTGGGGCTCTGATGAAGCTTCGCCTGAGCCTTCTACACAGCAGCGAGACTCTGGTGGGCCACCCAAGGAACAAATTCTCAGTAAGATCAGGTGGTAAAAAGGCACCAGTTGGAGAACAGAGACTATTGAGGCATAGAGGAGGCTCAGACCGGGAAGAAAGTGGTGTCATTAAGAGTTCTACAAAGGCTGGGCAGTGGCGGCTCATGCCTGTTATCCTAGCTACTCAGGAGGCTGAGATATGAGGATCGTGGTTCAAAACCAACCTGGGCAGAAAAGTCCCTGTGAGACTTTTATCTCCAATTAACCAATCAAAAACTGAAGTAGAACTGTGGCTCAAAGTGGTAGGGCACTAGCCTTGAGCAAAAACAGCTCAGGGACAGCACTCAGTCTCTGAGCTGACAAAAAATTAAAAAAATAGAGCCCTGCACAGGTCAGGATTGGGGTGATGGGGTGCTTGAGGCCAGATGGAGTGTGGGCTCCTATGCCATCGACGGTAGGCTGAGAGGCTGAGCCCAGCACATCCTAGAAGAGAAAGGGCTCCTTTGGTGTGGGTACGTGTTTCCCATAGGTCAGTGTTTGGCCATTTGGGGGTCTTTCCAAACCTGCTAGGGAGGGGTCACTCCCTCCCCAGGCTGTCCTTAGCATTGGGGCATAAACCGTCACCACTGAGCCCTCTCTTCCACTTCCCTCCTGTTTTGCCCTGACTGTCAGGTGTTGTGGGAGTCGACGGGCCGCACCTACTGGGTACACTGGCACATGCTGGAAATCCTGGGCTTTGAAGAAGACATTGAGGATGTGGTTGAGGCTGATGAGTTCCACGGAGCAGTGGTCAGTGGAGCTCTGGGTGGAGGTGAGTGCTGGGAGCAAGCAGGGGTCAGCCGGGATGGGGAGGGGCAGTCATCTGGCAGTAGGCAGTGGCAGGACTGTGTGTCGTTTCCCAGCCCTGCCTTCCTGGCACTGGAAGCCCATGATGGAGCTCTGTGCGGTGCCTTATGTGCTGCCTGAGGAAGAAGACGCCGAAGAGAGTGAACACCTGACCCAGGCGGAATGGTGGGAGCTCCTCTTCTTCGTCAGGAAGCTGGAGAGCTCTGATCGGCAGGAGGTTGTCCAGCTCCTTCAGGACAACATGGATGGGGAGGTAGAGCCTCCGAGGCTGCAGACACTACTTCCAGGGCTGGGTGGTCATCGCATTCGCAAGGCTCTGAGGGGAACTGGAGGTCAGAGCTGCTGGAAAGAGGGGTCCGGAATGTTCAGAGGAGCTGTGTGGGAGGAGCCAGCTATGAGAGGTTTGGAGAGGAGCATGGGTATAGAGATTCCCCCAATCCTACCTCTGAGCGAGGGCTGCTGCTGACTGACACCTTCTTCCTGATAGCATGTTCTGAATGAAGAGATCCTGCCTGAACTGGCTGTGCCCATTGAGTTGGCTCAGGAGCTGCTTGTGGCTCTGCCACGGCGACTTGATGACAGTGCCCTCAGGGACCTATTCAACTGCCGGATCTACAGGAGGTATGGGCCCGAGGCCCTGGCAAGGCCCCCAGCCTACCCAACCCTTCTGGGAGCCCAAGCGCAGCCTCTGAAATCCGAAGACACAGACAAAATGGAAGGTAGGTGCTGAGCAGGCCTGCCTTCCAGCGGGTGTTTAAATGGTAGGGGACTCTGCTAACTGTAGGGTGATATTATCTGAGAGAGATGATGCTTTGGCAAAGATCCAAAACTCAGAGGAGGAAAGAGGAAAGCTGTGTGCCTGTAGTCCCTGCTGCTCAGGAGAGCGAAGTAGGAGATTATTTGAGCCCAGGATTTTACTTTTTTTGCCAGTCCTGGGGCTTGAACTTAGGGCCCTGTCTCTGAGCTGCTTTTGCTCAAGGCTAGCACTCTACCACTTGAGCCACAGCACCACTTCTGGCTTTTTCTGTGTAGATGGTACTGCGGAATGGAACCCAGGGCTTCATGTATCTAGGCAAAGCACTCCACAACTAAGCCATCCCGGCTCCTGAGCCCAGGAATTCTAAACCAGCCTGGGCAACGTAGTCTCGGCTCAGAATGCAGAACACAATGAAAGAACAATGGGCATAAAAGTCAGAAAATTCCAACAGATTTTTGTTTTATGTGCTGGTCCTGGGGCTTGAACTCAGGGCCTAGACATTCTCCCTGAGCTTTTTGCTAAGGCTAGTGCTCTACCACTTGAACCATAGCTCCACTTCCATCTTTTGGTGGTTGATTAGACAAGAGTCTCATGGACTTTACTGCCTAGGCTGGCTTCAGACCATGAGTAGCCGATTACAGGTGTGAACCACTAATACCTGGCAGGTTTTTTTTGTTGTTGTTGGTCCTGGAGCTTGAACTCAGGGCCTGGACACTGTCGCTGAGCCTCTGTTGCTCAAGGCTAGCACTCTACCACTTGAGCCACAGCACCACTTTCCAGCTTTTTCTGTGTATGTGGTACTGAGGAATTGGACCCAGAGCATCATGCATGCAAGGCAAGCACTCTACCACCTTCCCAGCCTGACCTGGCAGATCTTTTTTTTTTTTCTGTCGATTGTGGGGCTGTGAGCCTGGGCACTGTTCCTGAGTTCTTCAGCTTAAGGTGAGCACTCTACCACTTGAACCACAGTGCCACTTCCGGTTTTCTGGTGGTTAATTGGAGATAAGAGTCTCACAGATTTTGCTGCCCTGGCTGGCTTTGAATCCAGCAGTCCTCAGATCTCAGGCTCCTGAGTAGCTAGGATTACAGACGTGAGCCACCAGACCCTGCCTGGCAGATTTTTGTGTGCTGGTACTGGGGCTTGAACTCAGGGCCTCATGCTCTTGTTGCAGTTTTTGCTCAAGGCTGGCCCACTACCATTTCAACCATACCTCCACTCCCAGTTTTTTGCTGGTCAATTGGAAGTAAGTCTTAGAGACCTTTCTGCCTGGTTTTGAACCTTGATCCTCAGATCTCTGCCTCCTGAGTAGCTAGGATTACAGGCGTGAGCCACCAGTGCCCAGCCTCCAACAGAGTTTTGTTTTGTTTTTTGAAAATCTATCCCAGCATCAAAAGAAAAAAAATTATTTTTAAGATAAACTAGAGAAAAAGTTTATCAATTTATCCTTTTTGAACGTTTGATCACTAAGAATGGCCAATTCTCTTTCAATGTCCATCTTTCTATAGTAAAAGAACCCCCTCAGAGCCCCAGCCCTGCCCTGCAGTCTCTTGTGGAGGGTTTGGGTCCTGCTGGGAATCTCCTTGTGGCTCTGGAGCGAGCCCTCAGCTCCAAGGGATGCCGGGAGGATGAGGTGAAGCCATGTTTGCTGCAGCTCCAGCGGCAGCCCCAGCCCTTCCTCGCCTTGATGCAAAGCCTCGACACTCCGGCCACCAACAAGACCTTGCACCTGACTGCACTGAGGTGAGGGACTGGTGAGGCGTAAGGCTGGGCAAAGCAGACCTCGGGCCAGCTGCACAGCTCTCTCCCTTTTCCATCCTTGCCTTCCAGAATCCTAACTCAGCTGGTGGACTTTTCTGAGGCGCTGCTACTTCCGTGGCATGAAGCCATGGACGCCTGCATGGTCTGCCTGCGGTCCCCCAACACTGACCGAGAGGTACCTTTGGCCTGTTTCTGGGAGATACTGGGAGGGGGAAGACACAAGGTCAGCCTCTTAGGCACAGCTCTGGAGCAAGGCTTGGAGGGTATGACAGAGCCTTTGTGCTCTTGGTTGAAGTCTTGCTCTTAAAACAAAATTTTATTTTTTTAAATAGGTAATACATTCACATGGTTCACAAATCGAAACACTCTTAACAAGGTATCCGTGGGGAATTTGTGCTCCACCTGATTTCTGGTTTCTCAATACCCTCCACCCCTTATTGCTTCCACTGTATTATTAATTATTGTGTCTTATGTTTTCTTGTGCAACTATGAATAAGAGCTCCAGTGGCTTTTTTTTTTTTTTGCCTGTAGGAGGATGGGAAAGGAAGTGGGGAAGGGCAGAGGGGTCGATCACATACCAGAATCCACTGTAAGAGTTACAGGACGGGGCTGGGAAGGTGGCTCAGTGGTAGAGCGCTTGCCTTGCATGCATGAGGCCCTGGGTTCTATTCCCCAGCACCACATAAGCAAAAAGAAAAAAAAGCCGGAAGTGGCACTGTGGCTCAAGTGATAGAACGCTCGCCTTGAGCTGAAGAGCTGAGGGACAGCACCCAGGCCCCGAGTTCAGGCCCCATGACCAGACCAAAAAAAAAAAGAGTTACAGGAGAGCCTGGGCATGTGGCTCTGGAAGAGCCCAGAGAAACAGGGTCATGGTGACAGTAGGTATCCACACCCTTGGCTGTTAGTTTCTGAAGTGGTCTCACTGAGGATCCACTTAGAAATGCAGTCCCTCTGAGTCCCCTCAGAACACAGCCTACCAACTAGCTCTGGGGACAGCTGGGCCTGAATGGGACAACCCATGATTCTTTGCACATCTTCTCAATATATTCAGTAGCCAAGAATCCCAGAATGGCAGAACCCCTTGGTTCTTCCCTTGTGCCTTCCTAACTGCACCTGGTTCTCGGTGTCTCCCCATCCCTCTCTTTTCACTTCCTCACCCTGTCTTGTTCCCTACCGCACCCTAGCACTCAGCCCACCATAGGAATGCGCCACTGTACATGCCCCTGTATCCCACGCCTGCCCCCATACTCACTACCCCTACCATGCCCCTTCCCAGGTGCTTCAGGAACTGATCCTCTTCCTCCACCACCTGACCTCAGTGAGCAGGGACTATGCTGTGGTGCTGAACCAGCTGGGGGCCCGAGATGCCATCTCCAAGGCCCTAGAAAAGCACCTGGGAAAGCTGGAGATGGCTCAGGAGCTACGGGACATGGTGTTCAAGTGTGAGAAGCATGCCCACCTCTACCGGAAGCTCACCACCAACATACTGGGTGGCTGCATCCAGGTCAGGGGGAAGGGCAGCGCTATGTAAGAATCTGGGACCTAAGCCATGGCAGGGACGGGGATGCGCTTCTGCAACTGGTGGCAGCAGTGACTCCAGTGAGCCTGGAATTCCCACCTTCCTCCGCCTCCCCTTGCTGCTTGGCCTTTGCTCCCTCTGTGTTTCCATGTTTCTCCCTGTTCCCCTCTCAGCCCCCAGACCTGCTTCCTCTGATGTTCCCATTGCAGATAGTGCTGGGGCAGATCGAAGACCACAGACGAACCCACCGCCCCATCAAGATCCCTTTTTTTGATGTGTTCCTCAGATACTTATGCCAAGGTTTGAGCCTCCTCCCCAGCTGCTCAGCACCCCCACCCTATACCATCTCCCTGTTGCACTATTTTGTGTGTCAGTTCTGGGGCTTTTTGGTGATTAATTGTAGGTTAGTCTCTTGGAGGTTCACAGGCCTTGCAGGTTCACGCCTGTAATCCTAGCTACTCCAGAGGGTGAGATTTGAGGATAGCAGTTCAAAGCCAGCCTAGACAAGAAAGTCCAAAAGAGATTTATCTCCAATTGACCACCAAAAAAGTTGAAAGTGGAAGTGTGGGTCAAGTAGTAAGTACTAGCCTTGAGTGAAAAAGCTAAGTACCATCACACACAAAAATAATAAGTCTCTTGGATTTTATCAGCCTCGACTGACTTCAAACTAAGATCCTTGCATCTCTGCCTCCTAGCCAGGTGCCAGTGGCTCATGCCTGTACTCCTAGCTACTCAGGAGGCTGAGATCTGAGGATGGTGGTTCAAAGCCAGTGAGGGCAGGAACATCTATGAGACTCTTGTCTCCAATAAACAACTAGAAAACTGGAAGTGGCACTGTGGCTCAAGTGGTAGAGCACTCTCCTTGAGCTGAAGAACTAAGGGACAGCGCCCAGACCCAGAGTTCAAGCCCCATGACCAACAACAACCAAAAAACCTCTGCCTCCTTAGTAGGATTACATGTTGAGCCGCTGGTGCCAAGCTTCCTTTATACCTTTATAACCTAGCAGGCTGTGACCCTTTTTTCTTTCCACTCACTTCTAGGTTCCAATATGGAATTGAAGGACAAATGCTGGGAGAAGGTGGAAGTGTCTTCCAACCCACACCGTGCCTGCAAGCTAACAGACCGCAACCCCAAGACATACTGGGAGTCAAAGGGCAGTGCAGGGTCTCACCACATCACCTTGCACATGCGTCGTGGTGTCCTAGTCAGGTAAAGCTTCTGCACATGCGCACATACCTCCTCACACCTGTGCCTGCTTGTGACTTCCCTATTGTGTCTTGGGGAAACATCACCCCTCTATATTTGGCCAGAGAGTCCCCTGGGCTCTTGTTTGCATGCATACAACAGGTTCCGGTTTCCAGAGGCTTCTCCTCCTTCACTCCCAGGAAGCTCACTCTGCTGGTGGCCCGTGAGGACTCAAGCTACATGCCAGCCCGGGTGGTGGTGTGCGGTGGGGACAGCGCCAGTACTCTCAACACGGAACTCAACTCGGTAGGAGGGGTCTCCTGTGTCATTAGCCCACCCCTCTCAGAATCTGCCTCAAGCGCCTAATGTCCTGTCTTAACCCCATAGAAAGGAGTCCTTCTTCTGTGCCTGGGTGACAGCACCAGGCTGCGAGCAGTCGGGTGGCGTTAGGGGCCGTGTTAGGGGCCGCCTGTCAGAAGCCTTATGTCCTAGGAGTGGAGAAGGGAGGCACATGGGGGCTGAAGCTGGCCCTCCATCTTCTGTCCCTTTCCAGGTGAACGTGATGCCCTGTGCCAGCCGGGTGACCCTCCTGGAGAACCTCACTCGCTTCTGGCCCATCATCCAGATCCGTATAAAGCGCTGCCAGCAGGTGGGGCCAGAGGGTGTGGTTTGGCTTCTGGGTATGGGTCATATATATATTTTTTTGTGCCAATCTTGGGTCTTGAACTCAGGGCCAGGGTGCTGTCCTTGAGCTTTGGTCCCCAAGGCTAGCACTCTACTACTTCTGGCTTTTTGGTGATACATAGGAGATAAAGACTTTCCTATTTGGGCTGGCTTCAAACTGTGATCCTCAGATCTCAGCCTCCTGAGTAGCTAGTATTATAGGCCTGCACACCAGAGCCCAGCAGTTTATGTGTGTAAATATATATATATATATATACATATGTATGTATATATAAGTAGTATATACATATATATTTTATATACATATATATTTTGTTGCAATTGATCGAGGCACCAAGGGCTTCACGCACACTAGGCTAGTGCTTTGCCACTAAGCCTTGTCCCAGCCCTGAGCCTCAACACAGTTGCAAATCTTGTGACTGGGTCTTAGCTGTGGGCAACTGAAAACAGGTGTGTGTGTGTGTGTGTGTGTGTGTGTGTGTGTGTGTGTGTGTGTGTGTGTGTGTGTGTGTGTGTG